GACATAGTAAACGCCTCCGATATCTTTGCCATGTAAACCCCAAATAGGGTCACAAAGAGTCAGACACCATTTAACAACAATGAAGAGGGAGTAAGTATTAGAAGGAGGGCTAGAAACAATATCATATTAGAATTAGGGATGATACCACAACTGAGTAATAGCAACTTTTAAAGAATGAGCCACTCTAGAGGCAGCCAGGTGATAGAGCACTGAACCTGGAATTAGGAGAAACCTGAGTTCAAATTTGAGTTCAAATTTGTGTGAACCTGGGCAAATCACACAACTTATGTCTGCCTCAGTTTTCCCATTAGTAAAATGGGGGTAATAAGAATGCCTGTCTCCCAGAGCTGTTGTAAGCATAAAATGATGTAATACTCATAGATCAGTTTTACATCTTTTTTTTTGTTTGTTTGTTTCACAGCTAGTAAGTGTCAAGTGTCTGGTCTGAGAGCTGATTTGAACTCAGGTGCATCCTGACTCCAGGACTAGTGCTTTATCCACTGTGCCACTTGGCTGCCCCTAACAAGTCTTACATCTTAAAGTGGTATATAAATACTAGCTGTTGTATTGCTATTCTGGAGATGTTTTCTTTTTCTTTTTTTTTTTAAAAGCAATTGGGGTTAACTGGCTTGCCCAGGGTCACACAGCTAGTAAGTGTCAAGTGTGTGCTCTGAGGCTGGATTGGAACTCAGGTCCTCCTGATTTCAGGGCCAGTGCTCTACCCACTGTACCACCTAGCTGCCTCGAGATGTTTCTTTCCACCATAACGGGACTAAATGTTTGTTTAAGTATCCAGTGTAGCAAGTATCGTCTGGATCTCCTTGCTCCTGACCAGGTCATCTACATTGCCCCTCAGACTTTCAGAGGGGCACTCTGGAGGGGAGGTCTCTCCTCTAATGTTTGATCCTCTACCAGCAGTTAGAGGCTCGTGACCAGGATATTTGTCTAAAGATGTAGCAAGAACAAATGTACGAACATTTCTGCCTCACTGCTTCGAAGGCAGCTCTTTCCTACACCAGTGATGTCAAATTCAAATAGAAAAGTGATTCACTAAATGGTGCATAATGATCCCTGCATATTGACTTAGAAAACCACATATTAACATTATTTATGTTCTTTTGTATTTTTATTTATTTTGTTAAATGTTTCCTAATCACATTTTAATGTGGTTCAAACCTCACTGCTCTGCCCAAGAGTTGAACTATCTCCCCTACACCACCTCGGTCTCTGGGAGAGTAGGCACAAAACAGCTCAGTTCCTACACAGCCTTGGTCCCACCAAGTTCACGTGACAAGGTGGCATTACTGCCTGAGGACCCTGCATATCACTGGACTGGAGTTCCCAAGGTCAATACCAAAGCTCTTTAAAACTTCAATGCTGTGCTGATTGCATTCCTGTAGGAACCTCTGCCTGCCTCAGTTTCCTCATCAGTAAAATGGGGGTAATAATAGCACCTACTTCCCAGGCTTGTTGTGAGGGTAAAATAAGATCACAGTTGTAAAGTACTTTGCAAATCTTAAATGCTAGCTATTCAACATTATCATTACATCATTACATCTTCAGTGGCCAAAGAGCCTCCTTTTCAGCACATGGTTAGCCAAGCCAGCTAGAAACAGCCCGGGAAGTAGGCTGCCCAGCTTCTCCACTTGGAGATGCTGTCTCAAATACTTTGTGCATGCACTAGACCCCATTACATCAGGATTTACATTTAAGCCAGTGACCAGACTTGCCCTAAGGCAAATGAGATAATATTTGTAAAATGTTTAGTACGGTGCCTGGCACATGGTAATTTCTTAACAAATGCTTGTTCCCAAACAACTGTGCACAAACAAGATATATAACCACTTATCTCTAGTTTGGTCCCTTACTGTAACTCCAGTGCTGCCTGAGTACTGTCTATGTAACCCCACAGAGAAAGAATTGTGTTGAGAGGCTTCCTAGGATCATCACAGAGACCACCCCATACGTAAGATGGTTTGCTGTTGTTGTTCAGTAGTTTTGGATGTGTCCAACTCTTTGTGACCCCATTTGGGGTTTTCTTTGCAAAGACACCAGAGTGGTTTTCCATTTCCTTCTCCAGCTCATTTTACAGATGAGGTATTTGAGGCAAACAGGGTTAAATGATTTGCCCAGGGTCACACAGCTAATATATGTCTGAGGCCAAATCTGAACTCAGGAAGATGAGTCTTCCTGACTCCAGGCCCAGCACCTACCTGCCCCCATGTAAGATGTATTCATCCTATTTCCAAGTTTGTTAGCTTCCTATTTCTCAGTAGCCCAAACTCTGGGGTTCTGAAAAGAAGGTCTATCCAAAATATGATGGTGGCTTCAAAAGTAACTGGTCTGATCTAAGACTCTGTCTTGGGCACCCCATCTTTCATTCATTCATTCATTCAATATGCAATTATTAAGTCTTACTATGTGCCAGGTGCTGTACTAATCACTGTGTGGTGACACAAGTACAAAAATGATAGCCCCTGACCTCAAGTTTATTGGGGGAAGTCATTGGTATACATACAAGTGTAGTGAGGGAACCTGTTGCAACCTTGCACCCCAACCATTTCCAAAAGGAAATGTCCCTTGGCCTTTTGATAAAGGGCATATGCAATCAGATGCTTCTGGTTGGTCCCCATATATTGGGTGGGGGAAAGAATGTGTCAAAAACTGTTGGCTATTGAGCAGAAAGTGTCTCCCACTCCATGAACCTTAAAAGGAGAGACAACTTCTACTTTCATTGTCTTCTTACTCTCTTCTGAATAGGTGGCTAAGTCTCCTGGACTTTCCCTGGTGGGAGTTGGGGTTAGGAACGGATTTCTTCTTTCCTTCCTCCATGCCAGCTATGAAAGCTGCTCTTACATGGCACTAGTGTATATATGTTTTTACTAGGTGAGCTTGAGACTGGGTCTCAAGATCCTAGTCACCTCTAACGCTTTCTGTTTCTTTCCCTGAGTGAAAGTTATCAAAAAGCAATCCTGAACTAGATATTTCCCATCGTGGCAATGATCTTATGAACTCAAGAGGTCTGGAGTCATTGAGATTTCTGGGTCACTGGTAGCAGGATCTGTTTCCTTCACCCACCTTTAATGAGTGCTCAGACAGTTTAAAGCCAAGGTGAGTGTGAAATGTCCATTCAGTAGTCCCACACAGTGTTTCGTGTTTTAATTATCAGCCTCCCTAGAAAGCATAAATAGGAGAGATGGCTTACCATTTTTTGTTTTATGCATTTTGTCAGTGTGCTTATGAGTCTTTTGTGTTGTAAGCATTTCTTTTATGATGAAGGAAATAAATAGCTGTCCTATGCCTGATTTAATTTGCATACTGAATTCTTTAAACAAACAAACAAAAAAAGACTATTAATACCTTTGGGCAAGACTCTAGACATGAGAGACAAAAAGAAACTGAACCTAGTCTATGGGAACAAGTGCCCCATAATCCTGGGTCAGTAGGCCCATTACATGAATAAATACAAAGTAATTGGGGGGGGGGGTACATATAAACAAATGGGAGGATCAGGAAAGGCCTGTCTAGGAGGTATCATTTGAGCTGAACATTGATGGAAGCTAGGAATTCAAAGAGAAGATAATGAAAAAGAAGTATATTTCTGGAATGTCATTTATGGAGAACAGCAAATAAACCAGATTAGCTGGAGTATAATGTTTGTGAAGGGAAGTAATGTGCAATCGCCTAGAAAAGTGGGCTGGAGCCAAACTCTGCTGTTAAAGTCATCCCCTTTCTCTAAAGGAGACAGGAAGGGAAGGGATAGTAAAGTATGGGTAAATCCACACTCTTGAGTTGTAGTTTGTCATGAACTTGGAGGAGATAGAAAAGGGACAATTGGATATCTCTCCCAAATCACTGGAAGCAGAAAAGCCAACTTCACACAGAGGCTCTGGGGAGGGTTCCACGTGGTTTCCCTCCACTTGGCCTTTATGAAGACCTCTCCATGCCCCTTTTCAGAAGTTGGACTGTAGACCGTGGGTAAATATAAAACACCAGATGGCTGGGATGACTACCTGGTATTTAACCCCTCCTTGATTCACTGCCTCCCTGCTATTCTGCCAGTCCCCTGACCTAATTCAACAAGGCTTCAAAAATCAACTTCATAAAGCCTTATACTGCCTGTCACTCCCCCACCTGAGGACATATAATGGCTCCCGTCACTCTCATGTCCAATCCAAACTCCAAGGCAGCACAGAGCTGTGGAGAGGGTAATGAACTTGGAGTCAAAGAAGACCTGGATTCAAATGGACAAACAGATAGTTACTAATTGTGTGACTCAGGGTAAGTAATTTAAACTTCCCATTCCTCAGTTTCATCATCTGTAAAAATGATTGATGACCTCTAAGGGCCCTTCTAGTTCTCAAATCTAAGTCTCTTTTTCCCAGTGTCATACAAGCCTCTTGGGATGGTCCAGCTGGGTCTTATAGGACCCTACTTTCCATCCTTTTCCATCTCTCACTCTCCGTACCTCCAGCATCCTCTCTTCCTCCCTTCCTTAATTCACACTTCCCAAAATTCATCCTAGTCCTCCTAGGAGCCGAGAGCTCTGTACATCTTCCTTTACTCCCATCCTTGTCTTTCTCTGTCTCCATACCTCTCCTGAGCATATGTTCTGTCTTCTCCATCAGATGGGGAACTCCATGAAGGCAAGGAGTAAGTGTCCCCTCCATTTGGATCCTTATTCCCTTAGTACCCAGCACAAGGCACACAGAATGACTCAAAATGGGGAGCCAAAGAAGGGCCACCCTCTCATTTCTGAGGGTTTTTTTCCTCTAATGAAGAAACAAGAGCTAATCAATTAAATGCAAATTAAAATGTTAGCCTTAACCTTGATTTGTCTTTGAATAGAAGACAAATGAGTTTACCTGAAAACATATCTGTACTTCATTTGTATTTCCAGAGTCACCTGCAATTTTCCCTAACTCTCATCACATGGTTTTTGTCAACTAGTAAGGAGTGATAAGAGCCCTATAAAGAAGGGCTGGAGGTCAGTGGTCTACACTCTCAGGCACCATGCTGCAAATCCTGATCTTCGCTGCCCTTGTCTTTTGTGGTAAGTCTGACCTGTGTTATGTAGTTAGGCAGGGCCAGATCTAAACCCTGAGCCTGCTCTTAGGTTCAGAATAAAGTTCGGTCCCTACCCTATGCCCTAATACTTGAAATAGCTTTCCTTTCTCGGGGCCCTCCAATGGCAGAGTTCAATGTATGTAGCCATCATTAGAATGGGTCATCACCCATTGATAGGCCTTTGGACCTGTCTTTTGAAGATGAGGCTCCCCTATGAGCTCTGAAGGGAATCCCCCTCCATTATTTATGGGAAGTCTATGTGCTGGAGACCTTCTCAGCAAATGATCATAGTTGGGAGTGCAGATTGGTACACCCCCAGGAAATTCTGTCAAAGGCATTTGGCTGAATCAGGGTCATTCTAGACAGAACTTCCATGTGATTCTAGGTCAGTCAGTCCACAAGCATTTATTAAGCACTTACTATATGCCAGGCACTGAGCAAGTCCCCCAGCTCAGTTTCTCCCTGCCCCAACCTTATGTTCCTACCCATACCTCAATATAAAGGATCTTCGAAGTGGTTAAGAGTACCTAAGCTAAAGAGGTCATCGTCTCCCCTTTGCAGTTCAGCTGTATGAAAACCCCTGGGTTCTAGCAATAATTACAGGATAGGCACGGAACTCATAATTTTCCTATGAACTGAGACCCAGTGAAGTTCTCTAGTCTTCTGGGGGTAAGGAAGGGTGAATATCAGACAACCCTGTGTCTATATCCCCTGTAACCCCACATGACATTCCTTAGCCCTCTGTACCCCCCTGTAGCTAAAAAGTTGCCTAGTCATTACTCACTCTTTTTCCTTTCCCAAAGGGCGTGGCTTGGAGGACTTCCCAGATACCAATACCCGAGTTGTGGGAGGGAACAATGCCCAAAAAAATTCCTGGCCTTCCCAGGTAGGTGTAACCATGCAGCAATGGCTTTCCTCAAACTCACGCCTCCCCTGTAAGCCACATGAGCTCATACGCCTTGAATTCAAGTTTTGAAGATGCATGAAACCACCAGTTTTTCTAACTTCAGAAAGACTGGATGTTGGGATTTAGAAACATAACATGGACTCATACCCTCCACCCAGATATATACCACACTTGGGATGCATCACGCTTGCACTTATAAGAATGGGTAGGGTATACAAGACAGAGGGTAGAGTAAGAGTCAGGAAGACCTGAGTTTTTAATTCTGCTTTGGACATTTACTTAGCTGTGTGATCCTGGGCAAGTCACCTATCCTCTCTTTGCCTCAGTTTCTTCATCTGTAAAATGAAGGAGTTGGACCTGATGACTTTTGAGGTCCCTTCCAGCTCTAAATGTAATATCTTATGATCTCCCCATACATTAGACACTCATCATCCAGGCACCATTCACATACACTTCTGGACAGTCAACCAACCCATCATACCACAAAATCCACTACAGCATTGGACTAGAAGTCAGAAGATTTAGATTTTATTCTTAGATAGTGACTGTATGTATGTTATGTTGTGTTATTTTGTCTCATGTTTTGTTGAATTATATCTTATATCGCATCATGTGTCATATCATGTTTTATATTGTTATTCTATCATATTATGTCATATATTATTCATTAGCCTCCCTAAGCCTCAGTTTCCTCTTCTGTAAAATGAGGAGGTTGAACTAATTGACCTTTAAGGTCCCTTTCCAGCTTTGATATTCTAGGTTACAATCCATACATACACACCTCTGAACACACACCTACTCTTTTTGTCTCATCTTCCATGTACACTCCAGCTTATATGTCACACACATATCTTCATCTCTCACACCTGGGCACAATTTGGCTGCTCTGAAGGCATTTTCCCACTTTCGTGTCAATACAGCCATGCTCTAATTTAAGCATATTGGATAGGTGGATGTGTGCTATATGTTGGAAAGTAGGATGTCTCCGGTCATGGCTCAGCTTTATGATCACGTACCTCCCTGAGCCTGTTTCCTTATCTGAGAAACAGGGGTGATGACTCACTACCAACCTCATGAGGGGAGCATGATTTTTAAGCTTTAAAGGACTAAATGAAATTTCTTATGATTATACCAACTTACCAAATTGATTCATTAAGAAGTTACTATACCCATCACAAAAGTATTATTCACCCCAGAATTCCCTAATCCTTTATTTCTTCAATTATATTGAGAATCTCATTTTTAAATATTTTATTGATACTCATTTTTAACATCTTTGTCACTTCTCAGTGACTTCCCCTTTAGTTCTTTAGTTATGTTGAGAATATAATTTTATTTTTAAAAAGTTTTGTTGATGATCATTTTTTAACATCTTCGTAATTTCCCCATGACTTCCCCTCCAAGACAGAGCTGCCTCTTGTAATGAAAAAATGAAAGTTAAACCAAACAAATCAACATTTCTGACAGTATATGCCTCATTCGATGCCTACAGCCCATCATCTGGAATGCTTTACTATTGAACTAACTGTAACTGTAACAACAGTAACTAACTGAGGTTACAATTGCCCACTGCATTGATCTGAGTTGTGATGTCTCTCAGTGTCGTTTTCTTTACAATATTGCAGTCATCACATAAATTGCTCTCCAAGTTCTTTTTTTTCCCACTCTGTTCACCTCACATACGTATTCCTAAGTTTCTCAAAGTTATAGTTTGATTTACTAAAAAAATTCTATTTCCTCTCAGATTTTCAGGCCCAGGGCTATTGTTGAATGGCAGGTATACCCATAGTATTTAGGGTGAAGGTCATAAACTGATGAAAAATATGCAGTTTGGGATTCTTAGGTTGCAGACACTTAGATTAGTGTTCCCTAAAATCAGAAAAGGAAATATATCTCCAGGACATTTTGAAAAAGTGATGGAGAATCCAGAACTATGAGACTCTGCACAGCCATTTCATGCCAAATCTCTTCTCAGGCAGAGGAAATTATTATTCCCATGTCAAACAGCCCCATCATCTTTTGATTGGGAGTGGGTACGGAACTTAGATGGTGGTGAGATAAAGAGGGGAGACAACCAACCACAATCACTGATTCCTCTTTTCCTTTACCTATTCCTTCCAGATTTCTCTCCAGTACTCATCGTGGGGCTCATGGAATCACATCTGTGGAGGGACTCTCATTACCCCGCAATGGGTGGTGACAGCAGCTCACTGTGTGGACAGGTAAAGAGAAAGGAGGTACTACTAGTTTCTCTGGGTGCCAATGGACGTTGGTGTGGGAAAGCCACTGAGGTTCTGGACTTGTCTGAAAGTCCAAATCTTGCCTCAAGCACTTTCTCTAGCTATGTAATCCTGGGAAAGTCACTTTCTCTCTCTCTCTCTCTCTCTCTCTCTCTCTCTCTGAGGGCATGTTTCCTCATCTGTAAAATGGGGATAATAATTATACTTACCTCAGAGGATCTCGACGATCAGTTGAAATAATATCTGTAGGGTGCTTTGCAGGCCTTAAAGTGTTATATAAATATAAGTCATTATTATAGGTTAGGAGGAAGTGAGGTCTGGGTGTCCAGCATCTGTGAGTGAATTCCATGTGTATTGTCCATCCTCTGGTGTGGCCAGGAAAGGAATATTCAGAACCTGGAGGAAGAATCAGTGACTTTAATAAGGATATCTACATATCGAAGACCTTCTAGAGGGACTCTTGAGTATCCATGGGGAGGGGAAGGGTTTATACTGAAACAAACCCTTTAACGGGATCACATCCACATTCTAATATTATCTTTACAACTCTCCTGTCTAGACTGGTTAGGTCACAGACTCAAACTGTTGAAACAGGAAAATGAAAAGGGCTACAGATGAAATACTGATCTTTATTTTGGAGGCTTTAAACAGGAGCATATAGGCTGCTGAGGCTGGATTATGTGGGCTGACTTAGCAGGGAGACCGCATGGAGTCAGGAAGACCTGGGGATGAATGGTTGCCTTAAGTATTTCGTAGCCTCTCTGAGTCCCACTGGCCTGGCCTGTGAGCTGGGGATAATAATAGAACTTAACCTCCCTGGGGCTGGTGTGAGGAGGAATAGAATACAATCATGGGTGTAGGACCTTCTAGAAACTGTAAGCACCAATAAATGTGAATTTTTTTTCTTTTTTTTTCTTTTATTTATTTGTTTTTAGTTTTCAACATTCACTTCTATAAGATTTTGAGTTTTGAATTTTCTCCCCCTCCCTCAACTCTCTCCCTCCAAGATGGAGTGCAATCTAATATAGGCTATACATGTACACTCATATTAAACATATTTCCACATTGGTCATATTGGGAAAGAAGAGTTAGAACCAAAGAGGAAAACCATGAGAAAGAAGAAATAAACAAACAAAAAAAAAGGAGACAGTGAGAAAATAGTATGCCTCAATCTGCATTCAGACTCCATAGTTCTTTCTCTGGATGTGGATAGCAGATAAATGTGAATTGTTATTCCTGAGTGTGAAACAAATACCTTGGGGACAGCTAGGTGGTGCAGTGGATAAAGCTCCAGCCTTGGAGTCAGGAGGATCTGAGTTCAAATCCAACCTCAGACATTATGCCACTAAGTGTGTGACCCTGGGCAAGTCACTTAACTCCAATTGCCTCACCAAAAGAAACAAATACCTTGCCAATTATTTTCATACCAAAGGAGATTTGACCTGGTAGATAGAATGAGGGACCTGAGCTGTGATAAGTACCCCATGGCTTCCTTTTCCTCTTCCAGCAAACTGAATTTCCGAGTCGTAGTTGGAGATCATAACCTGTCCCAGAATGATGGCACCGAACAGTATGTGAGTGTCAGCAAAATTATCCAACATGAGAAATGGGACACCAACAATGTGGCGAAGGGGTAAGTGATAGTCAATGACTCCTCAGAGGGGGTCATCTGAGTGCAGTGTGTATATGGGAGTGGGGGGAGGTGTATTGGCTCTTGTCCTTGATATGTTTTCCTTGGAGGTCAAGAAATAACTGAGACCTGAGTCTTTAATCCTGTGCCCCGTGGTCTGGCCTGCTCTGGGCAAGGTACCCTATGGACCCAGAAGGAACTGAGACTCTTACTTACTCATAAGATTAGACCTGGAAGGAATTCTAGAGATTATTTAATCCAATTTCTTTTTAGAGTTGAAGTAACTGGGACCTAAAGAAGTTATGTGACTTGACCAAGGTCACATGACCAATTGTTAAAATTTCAGTGTATTTGTTGTTGTTCAATCATTTCAATTGTGTCTGACTCTCTGTGACCCCATTTAGGGTTTTCTTGGCAAAGATGCTGGAATGATTTGCCATTTCCTTCTCCAGATCATTTTTCAGATGAGGAAACTGAGGCAAACGGGGTTTAATGACTTGCCCAGGGTCATACAGCTAGTGTCTCAGGCTGGATTTGAAGTCAGGTCTTCCTGACTCCAGGGCCAGTACTCTACCCACTATGCCACCTAGCTGCCCTAAGCAGCTACAAGGTGAGCATTTGCACCTTGGAAATTGGCAAATACTAAGATGATAATTGATTATTCTGTTTGTTGCCTAGACTTAAGAAAATGATGGAGAAAATGTTTATAATGCAGATTAGATTTAAAAGTGTGTCCTGCCTTTTAGAAGAACTGGTTGTTAAACATTTACTAGCACATTCCTGACAGGTTTATATAACTTGGACAACTGCTCAGAGGCAAAAGAGGGCCAAGCGCTTTCTAAATGGACAGAGTCCATCTTTGGCACATGAATGATCCATCTCCCTTCTGCCCACAGCTATGACATTGCCCTACTCCTCCTGAGCCACAGCGTCACCCTCAACAACTATGTCCAGCTGGGCACCCTGCCCCCATCCGGTCAGATCCTGCCCAACAACAACGCCTGTTATATCACGGGCTGGGGTAGGACCAAGAGTAAGTCACTAAACTTGTTATCCACCCAGGAAGCTTTGATGAGCCATTTCTTTTTACTGAGGTTGTAGCATACACGTAGTCTGTGCTCTCAAGAAGGCTCATTACATGTGACACACATCAATATATATAGATGTAGTAGTAAGGACACACAAACTAACACCAGAATGGCCTATCAGGTACTTACTTACATCCTTGAATCAGCCATAGAACTTTGGAACTAAAAGGAATATTAGCCATCTAGGGGGTCTAACCCTGTACACATGAGAAAATGAGGCCTGTCAGATGTAAAGTGATTTACCCAGGGTCATACATCTAACTAGTAGCAGAGCCAAGATTAGAACTTTTTAACTTGGAGTCCAGAGCCCTTACTATTACTTCCTCTGCTACCATAGAAAAGACAGGTAGAGCAGTTATATCATTGGAATATGGGTCCGAGTGAATGGTCCTGGGGCAATTCCAGGTTCACATGAGAAAAGATCAAGAAAGACTATCAGTTTTTCTCAGATAACTTCAGAAGACTTCCCAGAGGTAAAGGGCTTTAAATAACTCTTAAATGATTGATGACAGGATGACAGCCTGTCTGGTTAGAAGGGTGTTCCAGGTAAATGGCACAGCTTGGTCAAAGGTTCAGAGGCAGAAGAGGGACAAGTGCTATTATAAATGTGAGTTATAGAAATTCAAAGTTATATTAATTAATAGATTAATCAGGGATAGGGTTCGAGAATAGATAGTCTCTGCTTCTGGGGAGTTTACAGTATAATGGGAGAAAGAGGAAAGATAGATATGATATCAACATACATAAACATAGTAATTTCTGAAAACACATTGAAGGAAAGGAGGCTGGGAGGTTTGCGAAACAATCTGCAGAGGAGTCACTGGGGGCTGGCAAGCTGAGGATGTAGCCATGCTTCACACATGAAGATGACTCAGGACTCAGGCCACTAGCTCATTCCTTGTGCTTTTTGTGTCCCATGTAGCCAATGGGCAGCTGGCTGAGACCCTACAGCAGGCATACCTGCCAGTGGTGGATTATGCTACCTGCTCCAGCAGCTCCTACTGGGGCTCCACCGTCAAAAACACCATGGTGTGTGCAGGAGGAGATGGCGTGAGGTCTGGATGCCAGGTAGGAAAGCAAACGTCATAGCAAGACCCCTCTTCAAAGTGGGGGAAGTTGGGGGATTGGTTCCCCCATCTTCATCTTCCTCTTAGGTTTCACTGCCCCCTTCTCTCACTCTCCTTTATTCTCTCACAAATCAAACCCAACAACAGACCCGTTTTCTTTCATCCGCTCAATGAACTAGGAACACTCATCTCCCTCATCTGTCTCTATTTATCTTTGCAAATGTATATGGGCACACATATGTATCTGTTTGTATACGTGTTATTCTTCTTCAGCGACTTTATGCCTGGACAGGCACAGGACAGGACAGGAAGGGGCGGTATATGTAATTATGACCAATCAGTGCTCCCATGCAGAATGTCCCCTGCTTAGATTCAATTACTGTCTTACACACACACACATACACACTCACACTCACAAGAGGCCAGGATCGATATACTTGCTTCTCACTTGACTTGGCTCCCTTATCATTGGCCCTCCCTGGTTTACCCTCAGATAGGCCAGCTCCTCCTAGAATCCAATCTCATGGGTCACTATCTTTTCTTACTAATCTCCTTTACTTAGTCTAAGGATAGGAAGAAATCGAATCCTGGAATTTAGGCTTCACCTCTCTCAGTCAGTCAGCTTTCCAGAAATGTCAGCTCCTTCTTGGAGACCTTTGCATTTGGCTCCAAGGTTTTACCTGTACCACTTTGCAAACTTACTACGTCACTGAATCCCAGTGGGAAGCATTGAACTTTCCTGAGAGCCTGTATGGCTTTCTAGATGCAAAGATAGACCAGATTCAACACCACCTCTGCCAATAAAGCTATTATAGATTAATGCTCAGTTCTGACCACCATCCCTTCTTAACCCTGCTAATCATTTGTTCCAGACCACAAGAGCATGTTTTTAAGGTTTATTTACAGGAAAAAAAAAAAGACATACAGATTCAGAAGTAATACAGCAGAGTAGGGTAATTAGATGCTTGAATAAAAGAAAAACTACCTAGTTCCAAACTGGATGGCACTTAAAAGACAATGTATTCTAATGACCTCATAGTTAATCCCTTGTAGACAATTCAGTCCAAGATTCCCTCTAGTCTAGAAACACCATTCAGCTACCTTGGAGCCACAGAAAGAAAATGACTGCTTTTGTCTTAGAAAACCTCCATATCTATTTGGGATTTCTGGCTCTTTTTTTTGTTTTTTTTTTGTTTTTGGGCAATTGGGGTTAAGTGACTTGCCTACTGTCACACAGCTAGTAAGTGTCAAGTGTTTGGTCTGAGGCCAGATTTGAACTCAGGTCCTCCTGACTTCAGGGCCGGTGCTCTATCCACTGCACCACCTAGCTGCCCCTGGGATTTCTGAGCTTGAAATTCAAGTTCATCTTGAATCCAGATCATTGGTCCAGTCTCTAATATACTCTAATTCACTTTTCAGTCAATCAGGATGTCTCTTGATCCTATGGCTGGTTTTCGAACATTCTCCCCATAGTCCTACCTACTCAGTGGTTACTGAATTTCCATCTTCCATTCCTCCCCTTCAAGAAAGACAGGGAAACACATCTAGAAAGTATTATATTTCTATCACCTCAAAATTAGAAGAATTCAATCCTATATGTAGGGTCATTCCCTGGTAAAGTTCACAAAAGATAATCCCTTTATTTATAAATTAAGTTCAAATATCACATACCTACTGAATGCAAGGAATTGTGACAGGCTCCCGATATACAAAAACAAAAACAGTTGACTTTTTAAATAGTATTCTGACAGCCACAGTTTCATTACCAACATTATTTTATTTCATCTTGATTAAAACAGGATGAAGTAAGTTCTATCTCGAGGTATAATTATTTCTCCCCATCTCTCAGATAAAGAAACCAGTGGTTGAAAAAAGCACTACGAAGCAAACACAGCCAGGAAGATAGGATTCAAACCTGTTCTGCCCTGGTTCCTAGCCCAGCATTCTCCATTACACAACATGCCTCTCAAACGTACAGTCTTGTACACAATTAACTCTAACACAAAATAATGCATAATAGATATGCGTGTTAGCTGTATTATGTGCAGCATCAGGAGCGAAAAGCCATTACTGAGGGAGTGGATTAGGGAAAACTTCATGAAGGAGATGGCCCTTAAATAAAGCTGAAAGTTTGTTTCCTTGGTCTTGGGAGAAGCAACATGCTTTTCTTCCTGTGCCTCTCCTAAAACCCTGACTCATTAATGTCTTCTCTGATAAAATTCCTTGAATTAGCTTCTCCATGCTAGAGTAAAAGAAGTCATCAAAGAATTATGTGATTAGATAGAAATTATAGGCTCTATTGTATAATTCATATAATAGAAATTCATGTAATGTGAATTATAGGATAGAAAGAGAAGATGGGCTAGTCATGTAGGAAGGGCAAAGAATGACAGGTGGACAGCCAGAGAAGTTAAGGCAAACCTCTAGCACAGGTGAATCTCCTATGGAGAACTTTGGGAAGACATAGACAAGAGACGTGTAGGATGGACCGGTATGGGCGGATTGTGAGCCTCATCTTTGGAGGAAATACCCAAATCCATGAGATCACAGATTCATTGAGAGTATTCTGGTACTTTAATCTTTCTTGTCCCTGTCCCTCCAACTATCTCTAGCTTTTTCCTGAATTTGATGAATTTCCTGAATTTAATTAATTTAATTCTTGAATTTAATGAGAACCTTTGGATCTCATTACCCTTCATTCTTTAGACTTTTCTCTTCTTTCCCAAATAGATCACACTGTTTCTAAGGAAGTTCTTTGGCCAACTCTCCTTTCAGCTATAACAGAGAGGGGAAAGCACATCTATAAGAGAATTGAACCTTCTTCTCTTTGCCCAGTGCCACTTCCTCAGCCTCCAGTTCTGAAGCCCTCCCCCAACATATATTTTACGAATAAGGCTGATAGTTGGCTGGCAAACCCCCAAAATGAATTTGGGAAATGGATTTTTTTTTACTGGAGAAGTAATGATATGATGAAAAAAAACTAGTCCAGAAGTCAAGAGAAATCTGCTTTCAAATGTCAGCTCTGATACTTACAAACTGTAAGACTTTAAGTACTCTTTGAATCCCAATTTCCTCATATGTAAAATGAGGCTAATAGCACGAAACTACCCATCATACCTTAAAGTCTATACAAATATATTAGCTACTATTATTGTTGTTACTACAGTGATCAGAAGATTTGTCAAGAAGCAAATGAGCGTGGGGCAGCTAAGTGATGCAGTGGATAGAGTACCAGCCCTGGAGTCAGGAGGACCTGAGTTCAAATCCAGCCTCAGACTTGACACTTACTAGCTGTGTGACCCTGGGCGAGTCACTTAACCTCAGTGCCTAGTCCAAAAAAAAAAAAGCAAATGAGCTTAGGTGACTCTGTTTCATCTTTCAAAGCAGAGGTTTTCAGCCTTTTTGTGTGTCATGGATCCCTTTGGAGGTCTGGTCAAGTCTATGGACCCCTTCTCAGAATCATGTCCTTAAACGCATAAAATAAAACACTTAAGATTGCAAAGGAAAGCAATGCCAGTGAAAATAAAGACTTAATTTTTTTACTATCCAAATTCACAGACCACCCTGAAATCTATCCATAGTCCATGGACCCCAGATTAAGAAGCCCTGTTTTGAAGAATTGCCCATAATTTAAACATATGAGGAATCATTCCAAGTTTTTGGATATTAGTCATTTGTCTCCTTTTCTTTTATTAATTTTTTTTTCAATCAACAAACATCTATTTTCTCTCCTTTCCTCTTCCTCCTACTATTGAGGAGGGAAAAAAAGAAAGAAAAACATAACTCTTGTAATAAACATGCAAAAACAAATTTCTGGATTGTGTCTAAAAATGTATGCCTCATGCAACATCCTGAGTCTTGCACATCCTTGTCAGCAGGTGGGCAGCATGTTTCATCAACTAGCCTTCTGGAATCATGTCTGGTCATTGTATTGATCAGAGAAATCTTTCACATTTATCCCCGCTTTCAAAAAACACAGAAACAGGAATAAGAAGTCCTTGCCTTCTCTCTCCTAGGAAGTATCAGGGAACTCTCAGATTGCCAGAACCTTCCCTACCCTACCAGGATGGGCATCAGTTTCTCCAAGAGATAGGAAAGTAGAGACAAGAAGAGAGATTATGCTACTGAATTGGGGTAGTAGGGGAGACAAAACCTTCAGGAATGATGACCCTACTCCCAGCCCAGCCTCCTTTTCTTGTATATCAACCTTCCTAGAATTTTAATAGTTTTGTTGGCATTGAGCAAACTAATCAAAAGGTCCTTTGCAGAATCTAAGAGCTGAATCTTTGATGGGTCCTTCCTGGCTTCTGGAATCTCCAAGCCTGCTCCTAAGATATGTCTGTCTTTTCTATAGGGAGATTCTGGGGGTCCTCTTCACTGCCTGGTTAATGGCAAGTATGTTGTCCATGGAGTTACAAGCTTTGTGTCCAGCCTGGGCTGTAACGTCATCAGGAAGCCCACCGTCTTCACCCGAATCTCCAATTACATCTCTTGGATCAATAATGTAAGTCAGCCCAGTTGCTGGGCATAAACAGCATAGGTACACTATGCAATCATGGAATAGGAGAATGGGTAGAATAGGAAAGAAAAGGTGGGGTGGGAGCAGTGAAGCTAGGACAGAGTACTATCCCCTCCCCACACATACACTCCTTGGCTATCATTTCATATAGCCAGGTATAATTTTCCTCACGCTGATCATTAAGGAGGGAGACACTGCAGTATGCTGGGAAAACTCTGACTCTGGAGTCAGAAGAAAACCTGGGTTCAACTCTTAGGTCAGCTACTAGCTTTTTACGAGATCTTGGCAAATCACTTCTCTCTGGGTCTCAATTGCCTCATCAGTAAATGAACCAGGTGGGCTAGTTGGCCTTTGCTAACACCTGTAAGTCTGTTTCAAGTGGACGTCAGGGGAGGAACAGAGCCAGTGTGGTCTGTAGGAAGATTGGGCATTTCCCTGGACAAGAAGAGGAAATGCCTTTTCAATAGCTGCCAGGTCACCTAACAGAAGGTAGTTTCTACTTGGAAGGGAGGTTGTCCCACCTCAGACGATGCACTAGTAGGAAAAGTTCCATTGGGCTAATCCATAGGAACCCAAGAGTGCTCTCTTCCTCTGTTATGTAGTTTATATGGCAAGAGCTCCACAGGTGGCCAAATCCTATCCTTGGTTCCCTGTGGCCTGAGAGTATATTCCATCTTCTTCATTAAACTGGGTATTTCCCAAGGCAAAAGACTCTATATCCTCCTGCCTTTGCATTTCTTCTCTTCCCCCACTCCCTTATTCCTCACTCAGGGACTCAAAAGAAGACTAATGGAACACTGAGTCCAATTTTCTTTTTTCCAGGTTATTGCTAAAAACTGAATGTTTCTCTGAGACCAAAGGGTTGAAGGCCCTCAGCTCCTTGGCAGAAGTTAAAATCATGGAGAAAGTTCAGCACAAGGGGACATTGTGACAAAGGCAGACGCTGTATACCAAATAAAATCAAATTATCAAAATATTGAATGTCTTATGCCTCCTTCCATCTAGAATTAAACCAACTTACAGAAATTCAGTTAACCATTATCCAAGCATAGTTTAGCCAACTAACTTAAGTGTTAAGTGCTTAGCACAGTGCCTGGAGCAGAGCAGGTGCTTAATAAATATTAATGAAGTGATCAAATGTTGGTCTTGGTGTCAAGGATGAGTTTGAATCCTGCCTCAGACACTTAGCAGCTGTGTGACCTTGAGCTAGTCACTTTACCTTAGATTTTAGGTTTGTTTGGGTTTTTTTTTTTTAACTTTAGTTCCCTCATCTGTAAAGTGGGAATAATGATAGGACCTCCTCACAGGGTTGGTGTGAAGATCAAATAAGATAACGTACGTAAAGATGTTAACTTCACTACGGATCTTAAAGAGCTCTATAAATGCTAGCTGCTGCTACTGCTGCTACTGCTGCTGCCGCCGCCGCCGCCGCCGCCGCCGCCGCTGCTGCTGCTGATGCTGCTGCTGATGTTATGACTCACATCTATTGAGCAGTTCTGGATTTACAACAAGAGGTGAATTGCACAGGGTCACGTAGCTAGTAAAAGTAAATGCTGCAACTCTACCCAGATATTCTGATCGTGGGGAATTCAATACAACAAAGATTCGTGAAGCATCTCGTACAAACAAAGCCCCGTGGTAGGTGTTGGGGATACAAAAATAAATGAAACAAAAATGGTCCCTGCCCCAAGGGCATTTGCCGTCCACTGGGGGTAATACAACCAACGCACAAATTAGTATAATACAAGTCAAATGAGTATGATACAAGGTAAATTGAGGAAGGAAAAAACAACAGGGAGGAGGCCAGGGACGTCTTCGTGGCAGACTGCTGTCTCGACAGTTTCCATGAGGGGCATATGAGAAGAAGCATATTTAAGCATGAATCATAGATCTTGAGACAGAAACAACCTCAGACGTCATCTAGTTCAACCCTTTTATGGTAGGATTGAGGAAACTGAGCCCCAGGGAGATTAAGTGACTCGTCTGTGGTTGCACAGGTAGTAGAAAAGTAGCCATCAAGTTCCAGCTGGAAAGTAGTTTGTGAGAAGGAGTATTGTGAAATGAGGCTAGAAAGTGAGGTAGGAATGTGATTGGGGAGTGGCTTAAATGCCAGGCAATACGTCCTGGGCCCAGGTGAAATTAAGCAAAATTAATTTCACAGTTAGGAAATCTCAGAATTAGAAGAGATCTCATAAGTCATCTAGTCCAACCCACATCTGTGCAAGAATTTCCCCTACAAATACCTACTTTAGCAATCAATTAATAAACACTTATTAAGCCTGTACTATGTGCCAGGCACTGCGATAAGTGCTGGAGATACAAAAAGAGACAAAAGATAGTCTCTGCCCTCAAGAAGCTTACAATCCAATGGAGGAGACAAATATATACAAAGCAAGCTATACACAGGATAAATAGGAAGCAATTAACAGAGAGAAATTACTAGAATTAAGAGGGGTTGGGAAGGCTTCCAATAAAAGAAGGTCATATAGTTCTTTTTTTTTTCTTTATGGCCATATGGTTTTTTCTTAAACATCTCCAGCTAGGGCCAACCCAGAACCTCCTCAGGCAGTTCATTTAATTTGGGAATAGATCTAATCATTATGACATTATTTCTTGAGTAACATTGTTTTGCCCTTGCCAAGGTGATCAGGGTGCTGGAACAGAATACTACCTCCTGGGTCAAGCTTAAATCTTGACCAAGATTTCTTCCTTCTTCCATCCATCCCCTTCAGAGTTACCCTGACTGGATGGACAAAGCCAGACTTTGACTGACAAGGTAGCCCATCCCACTCTAGGAAAGTGGGGCAGGCAGAAGCCAAAAGAGTACGAATGGAGGTGTGGCTTAGGAGGGGCTCCTACAATCAGTGGAGTGGGAGACTCGGAATATCGGAAGCCCTGAAAAGCAGAAGCAATAGAAATGGAAACAGCAAGAATAAAACAACGAAAACTAGATACTGCAAAAACGTAATGACTAAGCTTGGTTTCATAGAAGAGATAGGGGACAGTATCTCCCCTGGTTCCTCACAGAGCCGTGGGGGACTGTGGGTACGGAACACTTCATACGCTGTCAAGACTTTTTGGTAAGTTGGTTAGTTTTGCTGAACCATCTTTTTTTCTTCTTTTTTAAATGGATACTCTCTGCAATGGGTAAGAGAAAGGGATACACAGCAGCATGGAGGTGATATAAAAACCAAGATATTAATAAATTTATTTAAGAAATACAACTTTTAAAGGTTTTCTTTGTCTTTCTTTTTTCTCTTTTTAAATATGATCAATGTGGTTAATCCTGGCATTACTGATCTGTATGTGTCCTTGCAAAATGCAGGGGAAAAGGAGGAAGGGGGGAGTCCCAGGAGGAGAGAGAAATTCATTTTACACCTGAGGTATATAGTTTGCCAGAGAAATTCTCTGTTTGGGGGCTTGAGTCACAGAAAGAGAATTATTCATTCACTACTTATTACTTTCCAAAATAGGGAAAGAAATTTGGACTTAGACCTTTCTAGGTAAATGTGTCAGCAGCTTTGGCTGTAGGAAACTATGAGAACTCAGGCTTGGAAGAGAGGGTAAGCTCATTTCCCCTACTGTTATTTTCTCCAATTAGATTTGAAAGTAAAACCACACTCCAGAAGAAAGGAGCCAAAGAAGAAGCCAGAGAGAAAGTAGTTGCCTAAGGACAAGAACTGAAAGAATCATTGAGAAGGAATAATCTGACCCACTGGAGATTGCAGGGGGTGGCATTTGAGAGGAACCACTGACCTTTTATCAGCCTAACATAGTACGGCACCACACTATTGCTATATTTATTTCTAGGAACTTCTGGAGCAACCAAGTTCCTTCTGATAGCCACTCTCATATTTAGTCTTTTACTCTGTACCAATACTAGCTAAGACAGAGGAAGCAAATCGATAACATGACAACAGCCAACGTTTATGCAGCATTTTAAGGTTTGTAAAATGTTGTACAAAGGTTATCTCATCTGATCCCCACAACAACCCTTGAGGTAGGTACTATTATTATCCTTATTTTACAGATGAGAAAACTGAAATTGAAAGAGATATTTGTGGCAGGATCTGAACTCAAGTCTTCTTGACGTCAAGTCCATTGCTCTTACCCTCTGCAATACCTAGATGCCTCCTCTGTTCTCCCTTTCCAAATTCCTTTCAAAGGCCAGGCCAGAGGATTTTGCCTAAAATGTAAAAAATGGCTATCAGTCTATCAACCATCCTTAATGGGATACATTGGGTCAGTAAGTAACCTGGGCAGAGCCTCTACGTTCCATCCAAGGCAAAGACCTCATCCTGTCATCTTAATAATTTGATTAACGAGGTATCATCCGGGGCAGCTAGGTGGCACAGTGGATAGAGCACCGACCCTGGAATCAGGAGGACCTGAGTTCAAATCCGGCCTCAGACACATAATGCTTCCTAGCTGTGTGACTCTAGGCAAGTCACTTAACCCCAATTGCCTCACTAAAAAAAAACAAACAAGAAAAAAAAAACCCAAGGTGTCATCCTTGACTAAACTCTTCCTGGGGATACCCTCTGCCTAATATGTATGTGTCCTCCAGTGCTCAAAGGTTATGCCAGCAGGACAAAAGCTTTCTTTAAGTCCTATCCCTTCACACCTCTGCACTGGTTGCACAACTCACCTGTATTCCTCATCTTTCCCTCTTAGATCCTTAACTTCTTTCAAGGCTCAGTGCAAGTTTCACCTTTTCCATGTAGCTGGAAATCTGGGAAAGCTTCAAGTATCAGTGAGATGACTGCTGTACTTTTCTTGTCTGAAGTCCAACCTAGCTAATTGTAGAGAGGCTTATCACTAGGCAACAATCAATCAATTAATAATCAACATTTATTAAGCACCTACTATGTGCCAGGCAATATGCAAAATGCTGGGGATACAAAAAGAGGCAAAAGACAGTATAGTCCCTGCCCTCAAGGAGTTCACCAAAGTGATGAAATTTTAGGCCACAGAAACTCTTGGACCCATCTATTAAGTCAAAGAAGAGTTTT